AAAGTTTCTGGATTAAATTTAGATATCTATAAGTCATAATTAAGGTTTGATTACAGACTCTTTGGACGAATACGTGATTCTTATACGTCTTATTCGTGATATAGTTCACATGTTCTTTACTACACTATCACACCTAACAGTAACCTCGTCCTGTTTAAGTTACAATTCATTATTGCATTAACTGCATAGCTACGAACATCAGTTAATATTTATATTGCAACATGAACTAATCTGCGTAGCTAGGTTTGTTGCAAGCGAGGAGGTTCGGGTGATAGTGGTTCTATGATTACCAGAAGGTTCATTGTGATGTTTTTGCAAAACAACCGATTGAATACTACGCAGATGTTTCTGTGAAAAATCATAGTAGTGATATAGGTTAGGTTGACGCACAAATGACTGCTACAGCAACAGCTACATTAATTTCTCTTGTGTTTGTATGTTGTGTCTGACACAAGTAAACTCTAGGTCTGAGCATCAACCACTCTGCAACTCTATTTCTAGCAGCAACGCGTCTGTAAACTACATCAATAGAAGCAGCCTCTACAAGTTCGCATACACACACAGAAGGATACTTGATGTTGGCGTTTATTTCTAAGTTCGTCTCTATTTGCATATTTGTGGGAGAAATTTTTTCATGGTTGTCGATTTATCATAACTAATAGATATATATTAATAACTTTCAGGGCCTCAATGAGGAAATACAATATTTTTTTGATTCGAACTAATAAAAAAAGTCATAATCGAATTAAAATTTAAATTGCATTTAGTAGGATTATTGCATACTTTATCATGTCATGTCATGAGGAATGTCTCTTAATAACACCAAATTCCATTTAAAAATAATATTTACATTGACTAATAGGATTTAATTAGAAACTATGTAATCATCACACTAAACTATTAAAATATAATCCAAACATCAACTACAATATAATGTTTACATGAGCTTTTATTACTAATGCTTGCAATATTATGAACCCTAAATATATAGAACATTTTCTTACTTTCATTTAAACTTTCTTCTTAATACGTTTGATGCAGAGTATTTTGTTCAGTTATATGCACAGAATAGGTACAAATTTAAATAAATCAATAACATTGATAGTATATAAAACATCATCATTAAAGTGATGTGTAAGAGTAGGAAAGTATGCGATCTTCCACCTTCTGAATGCCAAAAATAGTGTTAATGTGAGTTTGGTTTAGTATAAAGCAAATATACTGACACTCACATTCACAAGAGCAAATCCACTCGTATTTTGTCTATTGGAACCAAATTCATGTTATTTAAGAGCAGTGCACTGGTCGTAATCAGTTTTCTGGTCGTATAGATATATTTACAGTAGTTTATTATTTACAAATTGAAAAAATGTTAAATGTGTGTAGCGTTTTCGAACTTATACCTTAAAAGATGCACAAAATCCCCAAAATTAACGATATGCCATTTCAAATTACCAACAATATTTTCGTTGTAACTTATTACAGCAAGTAAATATCGCAATTATAAAAACTAGGAATTTTAACTTAATTATCTGTAGATTCAGTTTAAGACTAAGCCACCAAACTATAATAAAATACCCCCGCCGCAGCAAACCTGCAGACTAAGCGAATTTCAACTTGTCTGATTACATTTTTACTAAAATATTTCCATAAATAAAACTTAAATTATATATTTCCAATTTAAATAACATTAGATTTAACGAGTGCTTAGGTTTGCTGCTACGGGGAAGGTAAAAAGTGTTTTTTGACAATATGTCAATAGTATAGGATGAAATAAATAAATTTGCCAAATTTTATCAACATTATATCCATTAACAAGTAAATTACAACAGTTTTCATTTTCTCCATAAGAATAACATGGTAATTTTAAATTACCTTTTTTTTAATTTTCTCCGTGACCGTTAGGCATACAACAGCGCTTCAATATACTAAATTATTTCTTTTTTTAAGCTCTACAAAATGGTTTGGAAAGAAATTGCTAAATTTTAAGTTTTTAGGGTCAAAAATGGGAAAAACCTATTTTTACCCCATAAAACCCCCCATAAACCCCTGTTCCCATGGTCCGATCATGCTGGTTCGCGAACTCGTTCGAATAAGCGTAGGTTTACACTTTTGTACCAAATTTCATCAAAATCGGATCATTTTTGCTCGAGTTATCGTGCTAACGGACACATATATATATATGAATTTGAACGGATGGTGTTTTTGGCCTCTGGGGACCTCAAAACGAAAAAGTAAATCGGTCCCGGGTCTAGGACTTACCATGAGACCTACGGTAATAGCTTATTCCCTATATGGGAAATTCGCTAAAAGTTATGACTTACCCGCTTATTTAGAAAGGCCATATTAACATTGAATTTGTGTGAAAATATCTTTTTATCATTAGTAACTGTGATCAAATATTAAAAGCAGTTAAAAACCGGGTAAAAAGCAGGAGTACGACTAAAGTTGATGTTTTAAAATAATTCATTAGTTTATTCAGTCCAAATAAAATGTCTGTTCACCGTGCTAGCTTTTACGCAAATTACCTCCACTTGGATAAAATCGAGACCAGCATTTGATTTTGTGTAAACCTTCAAGCGTGGATCGTAATGTATTACTGTCATCAATATTATTGGCGAAGCTAAATAGATGTCAATGCTGATATGTGTTAAAAATAATCAAAATAGTTGGACGTTAGTAACAAAATACAACAATCTTTTAAATAAACCTTTGACAGCATATGATCGCATTATAAACACTGACAGTTTAATTTTTGATACAGCAGTTACCTGGCACCTACGGCCTACATTTCAAAATATTTATCAACTATATCAACAAAAATACCATATATTATAGAGGGAGATAAAGAATTATACTGTCTGTACTAGCTTTTGCTTACTTATTTCATTAAACTTAATCTTAATATTAAATATCTGCAAGATTATCATAGTCATATACTCGAAAGAAGATCAAAAACGACGATTTATTGCAACGTAGACGGACTGTTTGTAAACACCCTTCAACTGCCAGTTGAAGTGAACGTTCGCAAATTATTCAGTCGTCAAATCGTTTATGTCTGCATATCCCCCCCCCTTTTAGTTGCAGCCAAGTAGTTTTGTTTAAAAATCGTTCAACAATCAAATGTTGCTATCAATCGTGGATTCAAAATTATTGATTGGGCTGAGGTTAAGAATAGAATGTAGCGACTGGGTATTCCATGAAATTGAACCGTTTTAAGTCTTGTAAACTAATATTGTATAGGCCTATAAGCTATTTACATCTCAAACGCCTGTTTTACAAATACCTGTATAGTTAAGGTATACGAATAAATAATTCTAATAGTGTAATAGTGTGTGTGAATAGTGGATTCGAATATAAATAGGTATAAATGGAATTTGTTGGAGTTAGCACTGTATTGCGTTTAAATGCACTCTTGCATATCATTATTGCATGATTATGAGTTTGTTCGTCCCTTGAGGGCGACTTACTGTAAAGATTAATAACTAAATAATATGTTCAATAACAGCCAAGATAAAATAAATCAATACATAAGATAGGTTATCCATAGCATCTCCGGGTCTTAGTGTGTGATTTTTTATCTTTCTCATTTTACGAGCAAAGTGAGTGGAAGCTCAGAGTGATGGAGAGAAGAGATCTTGTTAAGTGATTTATTCACGAGGGACTGCCAAAAATAAGTTGCAGAGTAGTTAATGAGTGTTTATTTGTGTCAAGCACAACTTGTACGCAAAACATGTAGCTGTAGTTAATGCTGCATCCTGACCTAAATCATTACAACATCTTCACCCTAACTTAAAGTTCCAAGATACTTTTACAAACGTTCAGAATAATTTAGGTGAACTTTTTTATAAATAAATGTATGAAATAATATTTTCACTCACGTTCCTAAAGTAACTTTCATAGAGTGTGAAGTTGGGCTGAGCTATTGTTGAAAATGTTTTGTATCTGTTTATATTAACCAATAATGGCTTCATATATAAACTAAACTTAATAAATCAAAGTATATTAAGGAATTCATTATTAAATTTTACATTTTAAAATTATAATTGCTCAAAAAAATTTTTTTAATACAAAATCAAGGCTACATTTAATGTGTAGGCCTAATCCATAACATATTTAAAAACTCAATCAAACCTACCTAAAGAATTCTTTGAAACAATCTTTACAAACTCAAACAATTTTACCAAAAAATCACATGTATAATTTTGTTGTTTACTAATTTGGTTATTAATAATGTTAATGTTGTTTACTGCAGTGTGGCAAGCAGAGAGGTCAGAATGCACTGCTGTATATATGTCAATGATTAGACGAATCGTAACCCTGTATGGACCTAAAATTGTCCCTCCATTATACTGTATCGAAGGGGAGACGTTTACAATATTAGAGTTGGTATAAATTACGATCCATATTATCATCAACTTTCGATAAATGATAAATTTTTATCCTTTTAGAGACCGACCCCATAATTTATGACGTGCAGCTTAGGACCGGGGTACTTTTGACACTTTCTGAAATGTTATATAAAAAATCCTATAACTTTTGAATATCATTACCTAGCTTCGGAACAAAGCTACCTAGTGGTGAAATAAAAATGTTACCTTTAGGAAAAGGTTGAAAAACCTGATAAAATGTTGTGTCAAAATATGTTATATTGAACAGTGTTATTAATACCAAATACCATGCACATTGGTTACTTGTAGTACCCGCGAAAGTGTTAACGGTTCTTGCATACAATCCCTCGCTCGGCAAGCCTAGCGGGGAGTATTATGCTCTTTCCCTGAACATCTGATACAATTTTTATGTTTAAAAATGTGTTATTCCTATTATTACCATTGGCAATAGGCATGGCGGTGCGACATTGCCAGAGGCCAATGACGTGGTAGTGGATGATATGATAATGTATAATATAGTGGAATAAATTTTGATCAGAGTTTACCAATTTAATAGCAAACATGACAACATTATCTGGTCACTTTTACATTGCTTTGTAACTTTTGCAGTACTGCACCAACTACGAGACGACAGACAAGCGTCATTTCCCCACATTTGCTAGGACGAGGCCTCCGGACACGCAGATATCAAAGAGTGTGGCCTCTGTCTTGCTGGCCTTCAACTGGACTCAGGTACTAGAGTAACCTTTAATGTTGAGAAAACCCATAAACACTATAAAACTAGAGGACCCCGGACACGCAGATTCCGATGAGTGTGGCCTCTGTCTTGCTGGCCTTCAACTGGACTCAGGTACTAGAGTAACCTTTAATGTTGAGAAAACCCATAAACACTATAAAACTAGAGGCCCCCGGACACGCAGATATCAATGAGTGTGGCCTCTGTCTTGCTGGCCTTCAACTGGACTCAGGTACTAGAGTAACCTTTAATGTTGAGAAAACCCATAAACACTATAAAACTAGAGGCCCCCGGACACGCAGATATCAATGAGTGTGGCCTCTGTCTTGCTGGCCTTCAACTGGACTCAGGTACTAGAGTAACCTTTAATGTTGAGAAAACCCATAAACACTATAAAACTATACTATTTTTGTTTCGCCCTTTGGACCTCCTTCTTGGACTATGCTTTAGTGTATTTAGTCTATCTAGGTCTGTCAGTGAAGACAGTGGTTTGACAGAATAAAACCAGGGCGAATATTACTGACATTACTGACATATTACTGACATAGTTGCGTATATAGGATTCCATTCAACGTAACAAACGCTTAATGGCGTTCCATTCTTTAAAATGTGAACCATCGTATAACAAGTTTGATTGGTTGAAGCTGACTTGCTTCATTTAGTAGATGATACTCCTGGTAATTAGTCCTTGACTATCCCCCTCCATCTGACTGGGATGGTAGCTTTTCTCTCAAACCTCTGTCTATGTTTTGCCTGTCTTCTTGCATTCCTCGACCAGTGGCCATGAGTTTCTTGGTCTTTTAACTCTCTCCAGTAGGCTATTGTAACGTGTATAATGTTATAGTATGCTACACGCTACACAACGATCACATAAAGATAGTGGAGTAGAAATTTAAGGTAAGATCCTTGGTGAGTGCCTTAAAACTCCTACGAGTGTCGTTAAGACTGTTTACGTGAGTTGCATACACTATTTTACCTAAGACCATTTTTCAATCACTAAATTCACTACTCAGAATTTCTAAGATATGTTATGTTTTAGTTTATAACCTCTCACTGCCACTGACAGTGATGCAGCGAATCATTGTACCAAACAAACCCTAATTTCACCACTCATTAACAATTAAATTGGTCTTAACATAAAATTAATTGAGGTTCGAAGCATTACAGTTTTACTTCTCTTCTCTCAAACATTGAACCCTATTGGTCCGTTACTTGTCGTGTTGTAAAGTAAAACAATGCTGTTAAGGTCATCTAAAAGCTTATGAAGCATTTATCTACTTATATTGTTATTTATCACACCAAACCTTAACTTAAGTTTTATTTATCATGAAACCATTCTTTTAGAGAGAGAGAAATAATTAAGATTACCAAAGTAACGGTCTGATAAGGAAGACGTTTACTCTCCTGCTTGCACTTGAAGTGTAGCTAGAAACAATAGTGCTTTGTACGCTTTGTGTACTCTCTTTACAATGGTGATTGCCTAGGAAGAAACCTTCAATCGACCATTTTATAATTAAATATTATTACATATATAAGGTCTTTAAATTATTACACACCAGAAATAATACATAGCAGGTATTAAACATTTATAAATACAGTACGAATGACTATTTTATCACATTTTATGAGATACTTATAATTCTAGCAGTTTTAACTCTATGAAATTACAGTGGTAAGTTTGTTGATATAGTATTATTTTAATGCAATTTTTATCAAATAATGCACAGTTCTTTCTTATTACATGTAGTTTATACCTAAGGATATAATTTTCTGGGATAGTATGTGTTAATATGGACTTAACTACTCAACACGGAATTATTCATTACATGTATAGGCCTCGCTCTATAGGTTTTACAAATCGTGTCACCTGCCATTGCACAAAATGTATACACTAAATTACAGTCGGTCTATTGGTGTGTATGTTCCTTACTTTCTCTCACAAAACTGTAAACATGTGGTTATTGTGTTTACTTAACTTTAACCCTATTGACCTCAGGTGACGTTCCTCTACTTCAAGTCGGAAGAGAACGAAGTTTTCACCAAGATCGCGTCCACCATCCTCACTGTACTAGAGTCCTCGGGAGTTAAGGTTCTGTTCACGAAGACCTGGAGCACTCCCTATCATCACAAGTACAGCGAGAACCCCTTCCACACCCTAGTGCAGCAGACCTACCGAGACTCCCGCAGTATGTCACCTCTAGTACACCTAAGATATTGTTTTCTAGCATTCCTACTGAAGCCATTTTGCTTTTAAACATTAGTTCAATAAAAAATCACTTATAAATAATTATATGATTTTGCTTTTCAAGAAAGTAATATTTTACTTAGTTTAAACATGTTTTATATATAGTACTGTACAACTCAATAATGCAAGTTCCCTAGCATATGTCTTTATGTTCAAAGAAAAATCTGCAAAGAACATAAATCCTAGAGTTTTTATATTCTTCTAGAGATTTGTTATGTATGATTTGATTTTCAACGACAACCCTTTTGATGAAATATATCAAACTTGTGGAGAATGTACGTTTTTATGTAACTATGTTTTTACATTTAGAGTTTAAAGCTCTAATATGATATTATTAAACTTCATTTGGTAGTCAAAACTGCCAACTTGCAAACCCCTGAACCATTTATAGGAATACTTCTGGGTGCCTTTATTGGTGAACATCCAAACAGTACTATCCAACCTAAGAGGAAATGTTATGCTAAAATATTGACTAAAAGTGTGACCTGTAGCAAAACTAAGCATCGATTAATTAGTTTTTAGAGAAATGACTGAAAGACATTAATTTGTTAGAGCAAACAATAATTATAATTATTCTAACTCAGTTGCACTAATTGACTGTCGTTGAGTTAATTACTTCAATACTAGCCAAATATTAACTAATTACTGATTTACATTTCAAACACACTGCATAATTCCTTTAAAAACCACGTAATAATTTATCATGGCTTTACTAATTACTAACTAGGACTAGACCACTACTGTATAGTTGGTAGGAAAAGTTCCACAATACGGCAGAGCTGGCGAAACATAATAAGACATCTAAAGTAGAGCCAATCGCAAACAGTAATGGAAACAACACGCTGGATACTTGCTACCACAGATATAGGAAGCTTGTTAGAGCTAAGTCGCTTATCTTTGTCTTCCAGACTTAGCCGTCTCTGAAGTGGGTTCATTAAGAATGTAGTTGTTTTACGTGGTATACTTGAACAAGTAGCCAAGTTGAGATTTTAATCAAACAACTATGAGGTGTACTTAATGTTTCTTTTTAATTTCCTTCTCTTTCAAACTACCTTTCAGAACATTAAATTCAAGTGAAAACCGATTAACGAGCGTATCAGTGTAATACACAATTGTGTTGTCCAATATTTAATTTGTTTAAAAGTTTTTTCCGCAGTATAAGAACGAGTATATAGGCCCAGTTAAATTGTAACTTTTAGATAAAATGAAGCTGTGGCGGCATCGGATATTTATATTCCGTAACAAGGAAACTGCAGTAGCTTTGAACAAACTAGCAAGGACGCTTGTTTTTATTTCAGTCCTTGATCTTTATAATAGTTTTTTACTTATCATGTAGTAAGATATGAAACAAATTTAAGTGTAAAGTAACTTCCATAAACACCATCATATTTAAAGTTTCTTTTTCAGTTATTAAATTATATACTAGTATTATGAAACAAATAAGGATGGAAGGTTACATACTGTTACATTGTTGTTACACAAAACCACGTTATTGTTTTCCAGTTTACCTTATCTTAGGCCACACGTATGAACACATTGGGCTGATAGTCGCCATGGAGGAGCTCAAGCTTTTTGACAATGGTAATTATTTTTAATTTCTTTAAATACTAGCTTTGCACATTGCTACTTGTACCTTGTAGCTGTACGGATTTAATATTAACATTTTGCATTTCTATTATAAGGGTTTGTAGCAAACATTTTACTGGAATAGACACTAAACCCCCTCTGAATGGACAAGATTTGAGATCACGTCTAATAGCATAAGATAAATACAATTGTCTAATATTATTTATACAAAATTAATTTATAATAGCAATTAAAAATTTCTAATTTAATAATTACAAAATGCGTACTAGAGACGGAACTTTTTTTCAATTTTGTATGCTGTTAAATACAATTGTAAATAACAAATATAGCTTTTATTTATTTTGTTATTTAAGTTGTTTATATTAAGTTGTTATATTTCCATTGTTTCTTTCAACTTTGGACGTTTTATTTTTAAATGGACAAAGTTTTATTGAATAAATCTTAATTGTAAATCTAAATATACCTCGTAGAATAAACGAAATAATCAACCGTTTTAAGGCTTGAGTAAAATTGGGCAGCTCATTAACTGATAGTGGGTCTCCACTTGATCCATACCGCAAATTAAACATCAGTGCATGGTAATGTTATTCCAAACCTATTAATATAGGTTAATAATATAGCATTAATATAGCATTGCCGTGCACTGATGTTTTATTTGCGGTACTGTTCATAATTCTACTGTTCTTGTATAGTACATATTTCATCCTGCTAGTCCATTGTAATTATACAATATGAGAAAACATTCCGGCACGCTGGTCCAAATCCAAGATGGAGGTAGGGCTTAATCTGCCATCTTAAATTTGGGCAAGCGTTCCGGGAGGTCTAATAGAATGGTACACTATTTTATAACGTCACCTCTACCGTAGGGGAGTACTGGGTGGTAGGTGCAGACATAGAGCAGTACGACGGCGACGCCCCAGAGAAGTATCTGGGAGGTCTACTGAGGGACCAGTCCGACCCTGTAGCGGTCCGAGGGTTCCGCTCCTACCTGGGGGTCGTCCCATCATCTCCTCGGGGATACGACAACTTCAGCCTACTGGTCAATGCCTACATGGAGCGGCCGCCGTTCAACTTCCCCAACCCTGTCGACATGGTTGGTGGCGTCAAGCGAGTGAGTGTAGTTATTCAAACTACGGCATTGCGGGTAAACATGTTGCTAAACAAGACCATTCACTTTTGGATATTGAAGTAGAAATCCGACTAATATGTACCAGCTATAGCAATTTTTTTATTAAAAAAGTTGAGTACTGACACTCAAAACCAGGTTGCTTCATTAGGTTCTGTAACTTAGTTGATGTTAGTTATAGCCTATCACATTAATAACATTGATGCATTAGCTAACAATGGGTTGTGCTATAAGATTGTTTTCAAAAGTTACAGCTGTCGACAGAAATTAGCCATTTGCATCAGCGCACTTAATAGTGCTGTAGTTTTTAAGTTAACTACATTAACTTATATAAAAAAAAAACAGGTTATAACTTTGCTATTTGTATGAAAAGGTTTTTTTAGTCAGAGTTATAATAATAGTAAAACTTTTTTTCTTTATACGTGAAGTTAACATAATTCTTGTAATGCCAATATAACATGGCTGGCAAATTCAGCCTTTTTAAATGAAGAACTAGTGCTACAGAATATTAAGTGCATCCTTAAAACACAAACTGAATGTTTGGGGTTTTACGATTATAAAAATTTGTTTTTCGAACAATTCCCAGCACTAAAAAAATATGTCAATAGAAATTGGAATCATGTAAACATAACTAATTCAAACATTGATAAAATTCTTACTTACCTTATTTTCCCACTCTATAGTGGGGAAATAAGTATATAGGTTTGTAATTCATTGCAAATTGTAACGTCAATTGACTATTCATGCCCATGTATATATCTAGCCCTGCTATTCATGGACATTACAATTTGCAAAGAAATTAGTAGTTCTGATGTGTTTAACTTACTTGATGAGAGTTATGTTTATTTCTGTAGATAACGGCAGTAGCGGCATACCTGTACGATGCTGTACAGCTCTACGCCAAGGCGGTGTTGGAGATATTGGAGGAGGGAGGCAACCCCTACAATGGCACAAACGTCATCAACCACATCAAAGGAAGACACTACCACAGCGCCATGGGGTTAGTCTTATCAGCTAGTACGTTTACGCATAGATAGCATACTGTATAACAAGAAATACTTCAATGTTTCCAAAACATATCAGATCACTTTGAAATGCCTATGTTTCAAATTTTTGGAAGGTGAAAAGTAGTGTTGTCTATTCAGCACGAGGTGCAGACGTTTATATAAATTACAACTTTAGGTTGATAAACTTTGTGAGGGTAGTCTTAAAATCCATTTTAAATAGTCCCTGTGAAAATAATAAGGTTTATTGCATACCAAATATAGCAAATTTTTCAATGATTTCTATTTACATAAATATATTTCGTAGATACAAAATTAATTGTTTAAATCTCAGGTATATGGTGTACATGGATGAGAACGGAGATGCGGCTGGAAACTATACGATAATCGGACGGAGACCACACCATCTTACTCCTGGAGAATTTGGGCTCTACCCTGTGGGACTCTTCACGCTAGCTGGCACCACTCCGGTGAATATTAAACATTAATTTGTGTGCTTAAGCGACCGATGTCATCACTAAATATTCAATCTTTCTGTAAAAGCAGCGCCAAATCGATAATTAAACTATATACAGAACCAGAAAAAAAAACAATTAGTTAGGATAGCATTAGCTGCATTATTTGTATGTAAAGATTTATACATACCAGGGATGTTATCAAAACCAGAAACATTTAGGATATTCCATACACAATCTGCATGTTTTGTTTGATTATTTGTATTGTCCTATTTATAATCAAAAATGTCAACTAATATCAGTCAAAACTCATTGAGTGTCCAATTTAAATAACTGTAAACGGGAGAATATTAAAATGGGAGGCATCATCAAAGAAATAATTGGGCGTCAGATTCCTACTAATTGGCAATTGTCTCAACAATTTACCTAGCAATTAATTTTCCTCTTAAAAAAAATTGTTTAAAAATGATCATTATTTTATTGCTCTACATTAAATTGAAAATTTTGCGTGTTTATAAATTCAGGAAAACAGGAAACGGATCTAAATGTCACGGGGGAGTATTAGTGTAATAAAAATAGTATATTAATTCATCACACTTCTCGCTGATGGAAAATCATAACTATCAGTATAAATAAAATGAGCATTTAAGTACTAACGAAATCAAATTTTACAAAAGTCTTTATTATGTATAGTTATATTTTTACACGGAATATCGAATATCGACAAGTATGAAACCATGTAGAACAATAGCTTTTAATCTATGCAATTTTAAGAAAATAAGGTGTATGTCGTCTGTCTGCCCGTCTGTATTTTCATCACGCAAAACCGGTCAGAAAGAGGTTACGTTTCACACAAAGATTGCTGCTGTGCCAAAAACCTGTATAGGCCAAATCCTTAAACTATAGTATCAACCTATAATTTAACATAATTTACATGCATTTGATATAGGAAAATTAGGTTTTTTATAATTTTCACGAAAACTAAAAGAGATACGAAGTAAGTGTAAATTACAAAGTTGTTAAGAATAAAAAAAAAACCCATAAAATGATGTGCCACTTAACATATGTTGCTATTTACAAATTTTGAAAAATGGGCTTTTCAAATTTTTTTTAAAGAAATTTTTGGGAATTTTTATTATAAAAAAAACGTTATTTGTAGCATATCACGGTAAAGCTAATTTCATAACTAGTAAGAAAATTCAACCGGAGAAGGGCTACGTGCATTGATATAGGAAACACAGAGTATAAGAAAAATATTGATTTTTCCTATAACAAAATGCCACCATTTTGAAACGGAAAAGATAATTAATTTCTGTTTTCGCCAAATCTTTTGTCTACAAAATACCTTTAAAATGATGTACATCATGACATATGTTTACATTTGAATATTCCGAGATTTGAACTGGTGACCCTCAGTTTTGGCACACCCTGTATCGGATAACAAGATTTAAACAAATATTTTTACGTTAATCCTTGGGGTCAAATTAGTGGAAAATAATTTTACGCCACACTACATTATTTTGATAAACTTTCCACGCAAGGATTTAGTCCAGAAAACAGCTGTTTGCCGCCTGCTTATTCAAATGGGGTTTCATTGCGTAATACTGTTCTGCAATGAGTTTTACCGGACACCAATCAGCTGATTATACTGTATTTTAGTGGCAATTAGTGGTTATAAACAAAAACATAACCTCTGACTAGTGATTATTAGTCCTTTAGTTGGTGGAAATATATAAGGATTTGTACGGATTAAGTATTATGGCGTAAACTATCGTACGTAACTCGTCCAAAATGTGTGTACCGGACTCGTATGGTAATCCCGTACTCGACTTCGTCTCGCACGGGAACGACCACACTCGTCCGGTAAACACTTATTTTCAGGACTAGTAACGTAATATACTATTACTTCATCCTTGTACGTTATGCCGTTTTTCCGTAATCAATTTGAGACACCTTACGTGGGACACCCTGTATAGGTGTGTAACATATTATCTTTAGTGATCTCTTCCCATTACGAAGCACGGGTATGGAGGCTATGATTCTAACATATTCAGGAAATAATTATTTCAATGAGAATCCGATCAAATTGAAATTCGCTTACTCAGCAGGTTTGCTGTGGCGAGGGTATTTATTTCATACCACTTCAGCTTCAAAATCATTGATAAAATTAGATTAGCTTTCAAAGTTACCAACTTAAAATAATAGTTTAAATGATGTTTACGTGTGATTTTTTAACATGGTTGTAGATTTTTAAGCATGTACTGTGCAATGACCTTATCAGTCAATGTTTTTTAGGGCAGTGAGATAAATGTACAAACTGAAAACTTTAATCTAATATATAAAATTCTCGTGTCACAGTGTTTGTCTGCAAACTCCTCCGGAACGACTTCACCGATCGTTATGAAATTTGGTGTGTAAATTCTGTAGGTATGCGAATCGGACGTAAACTATTTCCCGTTTCGAAATTCTTAAAAGGGCTCCGCCCCAGTGGCTCTGGAGTTTCCCATGTTAACCTTATGAGAAATGGAATTAATGAATCTTAACAGCTGTTTCAATTAAACAAGTTGGTTCTGTTCTATGATGTTCAATAGCATTAAAGTTACAAGGATTACCAACAGGGTGCAGCACTATTATTTCTTTTACATTTATGACAACAGCTAATTTGCAACCAAAAGGTGAGTGAGCGTAGCGAACGAACTTCAACCTGGAGGCGAGTGAGCGTAGCGAACGAGCTAACCTGGAGGCGAGTTAGCGTAGCGAACGAGCTCCAACCTAAAGGCAAGTGAGCGCAGCGAACGAGCTCCAACCCAAAGGTGAGTGAGCGTAGCGAACGAACTTCAACCAGGACGTGATTGAGCGATGCGAACGAGATCATCTTGAAAATTAAACGTAACGGTACTTTCTTTCCATCGGTCTGTCTTAGGGGAAACCTATAACTTAGGCGATACGAAGTTCGCCGGGTCAGCTAGTGTTTACATAATTTAGATATTTATAAAATTGAGTCTGAAATTTTGCTGAACGATTTGTCCAAATTATGTCACACACAGTTAATAGTTTGTATTTAAAATATACAAGATTATTAAATCATATTTTTAAAGTGATCAATTTTATCTCTTAAAATGGATTTATATAATAGTATTGGGGGGGGGGGGGGGGGGAATGAGATAATGAACTCTTTAAATTGACGACAAAGTTTTGAAGGGGATATAAAAGTCAAAGCAGTTGTTATATAGTTTCTGTTCGCTTGAACGCAGTTTCAAGCATTGTGTTCAGAAAACCAGAGAGCTTTATTCTTGGAATCTGTCTTGATACCCAATTTGGAGGGATTGTCATAAGTTTCAAAGAAATGCGATTTGTAGCGATGCAATATAAATTTAAAAGTACTAATATAAGAATTTATTTTAAACTTTTGAAGTTTTTTCCCTACATTTTACTTTTCCCCAATACATGGTGGGTCTATGTATATGGAAAAATTATTGCTTTTGTCAAAACTTTAGAATTTGAGTTTTGGGTGGAAATATCTGTTTTTGGGTCCCCAAAACCCAAAAATGTGAGTTTCGGAGTAATTCATAAGTGTGTGTGAGCCTATGTGTGTGAATGTGTATAGAGCAAGAGACTAGACATTTGGTCCAATTTTTATAAATTTTAGTATTTAGGTACTAATTCATGGTATCTCCAGATGTCTTTTAATATTTTTTAGTGGTGATTTTTTCATAAACCCATATAATAACGGTAAAATTGGATTTTCACAAAAACGGCCCAAACGATGTAGATTCAATTTAATACGTTATAGCGTTTCAGTTTTTTATAAAACAGTACAACTCTCAAGGTTTTAAAAATTATGGTTCAAATGTTATTGCAACTTTAGTGATTTGACCCATAAAATAGCATAGTTACTCCCACCGCTTGTTGACACGCTAATTAGGAGAAAGTATTTGTCAGATTGCTGATACTGTTTCAATATATTTAGCACGAGTTAATACTTAAAAGAGAAACAAAGCTAAGTAACGTTTAGCATATTACGTTTTAGAATACTAAGCATCAAAATACTTTTGACGGAGTTTTGATTTAGTTTTCTTCTTCCAGGAGGTGAAACTGACAGAGGAGTTGGACTGGGGGCCGAGGGGGTGCCCCCCCATAGCCGAGCCCCCCTGTGGATTCAGAGGGGAGAAGTGCATTAGTGAGTACATGAAAACCTAAATGTACTTAGCTTACATTAGTTTTCAAACGTCTACATGTCTTCGTTTTTACTTAGCACTCTTTGACTGTAGTTTTAAAAACAGGGTTTACATTAATTAAAGATCCTATTGCGATTCAATGAATATATTTAATTTGAGAATGTTAATTGTTTATACAATTGGTGAAATAATTACAGTAATTTTATTCATGTCAGTAAATTTGTTAATTACAACAACAAATTAAAGTAACATTCTCCCTGCTTATTAAATTCAACATTACTAGTGTATGTTTCAAAGTCTCCATTAATAATAACTAGAGGTCGTCCCGTGGTCGAAAACTCGACCAAAAATATGTAATGTACAGACTCTACTTTCACACCACGCTGTAAATGGGCATTTCTTCTATTTTTATTAATTTTCTGTTTACATTTCGTTGTTATTTCATTACCAGAATGGCAACCTATAAGGCCCATGTTAATTTTTTAAAATCTTAAATTCATTTTCTGTGCTTATTTTTTAGCCTCTTTTAATGTATTTATTGTATCTTAATTATTGTATTCTACTATTTATGACCTTTAATTTGATGTGTATAACGACCTATGCTTACGTTAATAATTTTCTTCTGAATTTTCGGGGTCTCCCCTTTGAGAAGGTAAAGTATAGAAATGCAAATTCAATAAATATTTGAACAGCTGTCATAATTCAGTTAATTTGTGTTTTTACCAGGAAAGTTTTGGGGTAGTTTTGATTTTTTCCATTTCTTATGTATTTTGGGGTGCTGAATCCGAATCTGAGGTTTGCCAACAAAAATTCTTGACGCAACATTGACAAAAAAGAGAAAAATATGGAAAAAAATGATACTTTTTGTAATATTTATCTTATAACTCCCAAACTATCAACTTTTTGTTATTAGTCTATATTATAAAAATTAAAGTACACAAAATTTGCTACAAAATGTACCCCTAATGTGGTAATCTCCGATGAACCGTTTAGGCTCCAGAGCTATTTGAAAATTGGAACATTTTGTGTTAGTTTTTAAATTTCTCCAATTATTCTGTCAATGACATATATTCATTGTATATGCCCAGGCAAAGGTCTTATATAAATCCAAAGTGTTGAAATTGATTAATTTGGTGTTACTGAACCGTTGACTTTTTATTTAGTGTACAGAAAAGTTACACGAACTGTTGCCGTTTAAATTATCCTCACTCAGAGGGTTGTAATGAGGCAGGTTCTGGCAAACGTTTCGATGCATTATTTGTGAGCATTCTAGCTTGTTCATCTGAACAATTAAAAAAGGCTAAAAGTAAAAAAATTACACATAATAATAAGAGATACCAAAATCAAAACTATCAAACTTTAAATAACACCAATCTATTAATCATGTAATATCTTATGCACCTGATGATGTGATATTAAGATATACGTGAATAATAAAATGTTATGTAGGCATATACTGTTGCTAAGCATTTACATTGTGTGTAGATTTGATAAATTGTAGGTCCTAGGGCTTAGGGCATAGGCCTACATGAGAGTGGTAAGGGTTAATTGACTTAAGATAGTCAATACAAATTTTTGGCTAGAAAACTAAATCCAACGTTGCCTCACTGCCCCCAACTCAAGCAGCTGTGTGGACATAACTCGCTTAGAGTTTACATTTACATTCGGGTGAATGAATGGGGGTGAAAAAATTAGTATTGGTCTATGGTAACAGTGCCAATCACTCTAAGCCATGCATCGGTCTTGAAATTTTACACAGAAAATTTTATAATGGGTGCCAATACGATTGAGGATGTACGATGGGCTGTGATGCTAGAATCTAAGTAAGTAAGAAAGTAAGTATAGTACCAAACGCACATTCCTTTATTTATTAACTTGTTAAATCTACACACAATGTAAATGCTTAGCAACAGTATATGCCTACATAACATTTTATTATTAACGTATATCTAAATATCACGTCATCAGGTGCATACGATATTACATGATTAACAGATTGCTGTTATTTTAATTTTGATAATCTTGATTTTGGTATTACTTATTATTATGTGTATTTTTTTTACTTTTACCCTTTTTTAATTGTTCAAATGAACAAGCTAAAATGCTCACAAATAATGCATCGAAACGTTTGCCAGAACCTGCCTCATTACAACCCTATGAGTGAGGATAATTTAAACGGCAACAGTTCGTGTGACTTTTCTGTACACTAAATAAACTGTCAACGGTTCAGTAACACAAAATTAATTAATTTTAACACTTTGTATTTATATAAGGCCTTTGCCTGGGCATATACAATGAATATATGTCATTGACAGAATAATTGGAGAAATTTAAAAACTTACACAAAATGTTCCAATTTTCAAATAGCTCTGGAGCCTAAATGGTTCATCGGAGATTATCACATTAGGGTAACATTTTGTAGCAAATTTTGTGTACTTTAATTTTTATAATATAGACTAATAACAAAAAGTTGATAGTTTGTGAGTTATAAGCTAAATATTACAAAAAATATCATTTTTTCCATACTTTTCTCATTTTTGTTAATGTTGCGTCAAGAATTGTTGTTGGCAAACCTCAGATTCAGATTCAGCACCCCAAAATACATAAGAAATGGAAAAAATCAAAACTACCCCAAAACTTTCTCGCTATGAGTAAATTTAAATACAAATTTACTGGATTATCATTTTTTATTTAGTTGTCCTTTTGAATCGGTTTTAAGGCAATGTGTTCTAATAACTAAGACCTTTAATGTGATAGCAAACTCGACCTATGCTGCTATTTAAGAATGTTGTCTAACTCCTCGTGGGCCGTCCGTCTTAAATAGATACAACAGTGATAATAGCAGTAGACATGTCCTATTATTGATATACCAAGTCTCATTACTTTATCTATATTGGTAAAAAATATATTACACCATTCCGGGCCTTTTCTACCACACTGTATATTATACATATAGGAGAATTGTAACGTAAGAAGTTGGTACATTACGTTTTTATAAATACGTAAACCATTAGACCAGTAACTTGATGAATCAAAATGAATCAAAGCTTTCGTTGACTTGCCGGGACCCTGAGTCCACCCTCTCATACAATATGATAACACACAAAGCTGACTAAAAAATTAACTTTACCATGGTTGTAACTACTGTAAGTTTAATTAATTATGCTGGAGGCTTACGTCTATAACACTTGGACAATTTGAGGATACCTAATTGATAAAATGACGAATCTAGCCGATGTAGTGTCCATATCGAATACATTAGTTAACAGTCTGGCGTTTATAATTAATAGATTTCACCATCATTTCACCTTAATTCCTGTTTATTTAATCAACCAACTTCTCAGAATCATTCCAACCCCAAGTTGGACGAGTTTGTCAAAAATACAAACTTTGTTGGGTAACTTTAATAGGAAAAGTTTTCTTTAATAAAACATGCGGTGGGCGAAGGAGTTAAAGATATTATCAACGATTTGTGGGCATCAGACGGATATACGAGGCCAATGAGGGTGACTGACCCGGACCCTAGACAACAATCAAACTTTATGACCAACTCCCTTTATCTTATGACTGACATCCAAATATGATTCTCGTCGCCTTACTTTGTCGCAAGTCGCACGTCGTTAGCCATCTCTTGTTGCTCCTTTATTTGAATGCATTTTCTCGGCTGAAAGCGTGTACAATTGTATAGACCAGTAACCGTGGTAGGATCTCACAAAGAGGATGATAATTTTGAAAACTGTGAAGGCTATTCCAATACTGATTAGTCAGCTAATTTGTAATTTATTGGGTCCTACATTTTTGTTAACTTTTGACTATTTAATTGCATATACATTTAAAGTTTTCATGAAATGAAGAAGTGGTAAATGTTGTAATAATTCTTAATTTATAATAATGGTAAATAACTGCTATAATGTTTGTAAACAAAGCTTGACAATTACGCTCCCGGCTAGCTCGGGGCCGATGGGTATGGTTGAAGGCCTTAGGTCTAAAATGGAAACTCCAAATTTACAATACAAAAACCTAATTTTATTCTATGAAAATACAAAACTGATAATTAAAAGGTAAAACGGGAACTTACAATCAGGGTTTACAAAATGGGGAGTTGAATTTACTGTTACTTAAAGCTTATAGACTAAATACAATGTTCTCAATAGGCTCAGGGGTTTCTGTGCTCTGAATCTCAGGTTGGGGTGATCGGGAGGTGATAAGCGGAATTTCATCTTGTGATTTGATTATTTGGTTATTAAACATAGTTATTAATCAATAGTCCTGGAGAATGAATTGACTAATATAATAAATTGCAATAAAGAACTCAGTAGCAGATTATGACTGAAACTTGAGATCAAGTTGACTGTTAAGTGTTCTGGTTGATGTAATAATTGATCTTTTGATAGGCTGTCTTCACATAAGTATTTAAAGTTCAAATTTGGTTCTGAAATAATATATTACATTCTTCTTTCCATTAATGAAATGAACGTTCTGTAATAGACTTAAATAGTTTCTTGAGGTTAAAACTTAGTATGAATGTTCAAAATGTATCTACTTCAAGTATTTATTTCTTGTTTATGTGAAGTAGGTGTACCATAGATTTAGGATACTGGAAGTAGACAATTTACGTGAACCAAATGTACTAGGTATTAAGTTTAGATACTGCAAGTACACAATTCATTTAGGTGAACCAGATGTACCATTCACTTTAGAACCTGTTAATATAAATTCCAATAAATTCCAATTAAGTGAACCAAGCGTACCATTGACTTTGGCTGCTGCAAATAGGCATTTTATTTATGTGAACAAAATGTATCATTGACTTTGGATACTGCAAGTAAAGATTTAATATATGAGAACCAGATGAAACATAGACTTTGGTTCCTGAAAGTAGACCATTCATTTACGTGAACCAGACTTATAATTGACTTTGAATACTTCAAATAGTCATTCCACTTATGTGAACCAAATATACTATTGGGATTGGATACTGCAAATATTTAATCTCATTAACGAGGAGCAGATGTACCATTGACTTTAGAAAAGTATTGGAATAATATGCTAGCTCCGCTCAATAACGTAAGCAGACGACTGTATTGTACACCTAGTATAAAGAGGGATATTATACTTAGGACCTGTGAATCTTCTTCTATAAACTTTGAACCACTTTGTTAGAATATACTTTTATGGGGACAGCATTTTGTTAATAAAGATAATAGTTTAAAGTATGTTAAAGCTTGTTCAGCTCTCTTGGAAGTGAAGAAGGTTTAGATCATTGTTGCACTGAAATCACATGTCAATGCTGACTATATCACAGTAGACTTGTAGGTCACTTTTCACACACACACTATAAAAACTTACATCTGTTAAATAGCTTAATTTGAATTTGGAAAAGTTTTTTACGTAAATGATATTAAATTTGAAGCAATTTTGTTACAAAAGGCTATAGGCTATCACATATTTACATTACTAGGTTATTTTTAAATTTCTATATTACATTATATGAAATAAATTACCTATTGGTCTGCTTGGACAATTATTACAGATGGTTTGGAAAATGGAGAATGGATATTTACATTGCCATACAGATTTAAAAGAAATATATGGTGAAAATTGAATTTTTTTGTGGAAATATAATGAATATTGTTACAATGTTATAATGTTATAATGTAAATAACACTCTGAAACGTCATTACCTAGGATGTACTCCCAACTATCAATAAAATATATCGATAGTTGTAAATGTATATGTACACAACTTTTCTACGTCTGCCTGTCAGTAACAGGGTGTCCTTACAGGAAACTGTTAAGATAATTGTTGACATCTTAAGTATGCTTTTTACAGACTTTGAGGGAACGCCTGAAGTTGTCTGTTATGTCCGTTGTACATTTACTCACCAATAAGAAAAAAACTTATTTATTGCCTGCAGCAAACTAATTAGCCTTTGTAGCATTTACAAGTAATTTAGGCGATTGTGCTGGTGGGGTTTGATGCTTTAGGAAGGTTCATGTAAGAATGCGGGCCCACATCTATTCAAATAATGATAATAAGGGTATTTTTATGGACCCAAAATATTTTGAGTAAGGGTCATCGTTGAGGGATTTTGGGATGGCAATGATAGGGAGACAGAGTAAATAGATGGATATGTGTCAGCCCAGCGGTCCCTCCTCCGTCCCTGGTTTAAGTCAGAGACTTGTTGACCAGACAGTTTTCCTTTAAAAAAAAACTTGGGCTTCCTCTTCCTTGCGGTCAGCTCAAATTTTTGTTTTTCCAAGCATTTTCTGTGCCCACTCAACACACCTCTCTTCCCCCTATCAGTTCCACATCTTCTGTCGGGGGAATTCCTTCATCTCACGTCTTTCTTCGTCGTAGAATCAGAATTTCAGCAGCACGTGTTGCGATGTTTCCAGCTCTCCGCAGAGTGCAGCGATCGCATTCCATGAGGTTGACACTTTTAGCTTCGGTTATACCTTAATCGTGCAACCGAAAATATGAACAAGAACTAGACAGTCTGTATAATGTGTTGATGGTTTGTTGTAGCCCACACTATGGAGATCCTCGGTGGTGTTGTGGGTGGAGTTTTGGCCATCATGACCATCGTGCTTCTGCTGCTCTACCGGAACTGGCGCTACGAACAGGAACTAGACAGTCTGTAGAATGTGTTGATGGTTTGTTGTAGCCCGCACTATGGAGATCCTTGGTGGTGTTGTGGGTGGAGTTTTGGCCATCATAACCATCGTGCTTCTGCTGCTCTTCCGGAACTGTCGCTACGAACAGGAGCTAGACAGTCTGTAGAATGTGTTGATGGTTTGTTGTAGCCCACACTATGGAGATCCTTGGTGGTGTTGTGGGTGGAGTTTTGGCCATCATGACCATCGTGCTTCTGCTGCTCTACCGGAACTGGCGCTACGAACAGGAGCTAGACAGTCTGTAGAATGTGTTGATGGTTTGTTGTAGCCCACACTATGGAGATCCTCGGTGGTGTTGTGGGTGGAGTTTTGGCCATCATGACCATCGTGCTTCTGCTGCTCTACCGGAACTGGCGCTACGAACAGGAGCTAGACAGTCTGTAGAATGTGTTGATGGTTTGTTGTAGCTCACACTATGGAGATCCTTGGTGGTGTTGTGGGTGGAGTTTTGGCCATCATGACCATCGTGCTTCTGCTGCTCTACCGCAACTGGCGCTACGAACAAGAACTAGACAGTCTGTAGAATGTGTTGATGGTTTGTTGTAGCCCACACTATGGAGATCCTTGGTGGTGTTGTGGGTGGAGTTTTGGCCATCATGACCATCGTGCTTCTGCTGCTCTACCGGAACTGGCGCTACGAACAAGAACTAGACAGTCTGTAGAATGTGTTGATGGTTTGTTGTAGCCCACACTATGGAGATCCTTGGTGGTGTTGTGGGTGGAGTTTTGGCCATCATGACCATCGTGCTTCTGCTGCTCTACCGGAACTGGCGCTACGAACAGGAGCTAGACAGTCTGTAGAATGTGTTGATGGTTTGTTGTAGCCCACACTATGGAGATCCTTGGTGGTGTTGTGGGTGGAGTTTTGGCCATCATGACCATCGTGCTTCTGCTGCTCTACCGGAACTGGCGCTACGAACAGGAACTAGACAGTCTGTAGAATGTGTTGATGGTTTGTTGTAGCCCACACTATGGAGATCCTTGGTGGTGTTGTGGGTGGAGTTTTGGCCATCATGACCATCGTGCTTCTGCTGCTCTACCGCAACTGGCGCTACGAACAGGAGCTAGACAGTCTGTAGAATGTGTTGATGGTTTGTTGTAGCCCACACTATGGAGATCCTTGGTGGTGTTGTGGGTGGAGTTTTGGCCATCATGACCATCGTGCTTCTGCTGCTCTACCGGAACTGGCGCTACGAACAGGAGCTAGACAGTCTGTAGAATGTGTTGATGGTTTGTTGTAGCCCACACTATGGAGATCCTTGGTGGTGTTGTGGGTGGAGTTTTGGCCATCATGACCATCGTGCTTCTGCTGCTCTACCGCAACTGGCGCTACGAACAGGAGCTAGACAGTCTGTAGAATGTGTTGATGGTTTGTTGTAGCCCACACTATGGAGATCCTTGGTGGTGTTGTGGGTGGAGTTTTGGCCATCATGACCATCGTGCTTCTGCTGCTCTACCGCAACTGGCGCTTCGAACAGGAGCTAGACAGTCTGTAGAATGTGTTGATGGTTTGTTGTAGCCCACACTATGGAGATCCTTGGTGGTGTTGTGGGTGGAGTTTTGGCCATCATGACCATCGTGCTTCTGCTGCTCTACCGGAACTGGCGCTACGAACAGGAGCTAGACAGTCTGTAGAATGTGTTGATGGTTTGTTGTAGCCCACACTATGGAGATCCTTGGTGGTGTTGTGGGTGGAGTTTTGGCCATCATGACCATCGTGCTTCTGCTGCTCTACCGCAACTGGCGCTACGAACAGGAGCTAGACAGTCTGTAGAATGTGTTGATGGTTTGTTGTAGCCCACACTATGGAGATCCTTGGTGGTGTTGTGGGTGGAGTTTTGGCCATCATGACCATCGTGCTTCTGCTGCTCTACCGCAACTGGCGCTACGAACAGGAGCTAGACAGTCTGTAGAATGTGTTGATGGTTTGTTGTAGCCCACACTATGGAGATCCTTGGTGGTGTTGTGGGTGGAGTTTTGGCCATCATGACCATCGTGCTTCTGCTGCTCTACCGCAACTGGCGCTACGAACAGGAACTGGATAGTCTGCTGTGGAAGGTCGATTACAAGGACATCCAGATGAATGACGAGCAGTCAAACAAAATCAATCGTGTTAGTATCAATGCTTATTATTTGTTAGTATTAATACTACAGTACTTACTGTTCCTTTGGAGTATTAGCCATACTTAGGAATGAAACTTTGTCTCTTATATTTCTTTCTAGATTATAAATAGACTCGTTAATCCTTTATTAGTTAGCTAACCTTATTCTCTAAGAATCCTTTGTATTATTATTTACTTAGTCTAGGTATTTTAGAATGCGTAATTTTTTTTAAGGTAAGTATGTGTATTATTTCTACCACTAACTGAACAGTAAAACTAATAGGAATCAATAACTATTGTTCATAAATGTTTAAAAAAATGTTATTGTTCATAAACGTTCATAAAATTTTGTATTGCCAAATAAATGGAAATAAAATTAATTTAACAAATTAATCTAATAAAAAACTGCCAATATAATTTCGAAGTTTCTAGCCAAGCAAACGTGTTTATCAATACTCGCAGCTCAGCTGGTAGTGTGCACTACTTTCCACTAACTGCTCTCTCAGATGTTGGTAGTTCAAACGTTACTTTGACAAGGCCCAAGTTTATATAGTGTAACACTCTATCGGTCGTGTATTTGCTCTTTAGTTGCCGTGGATGGAAATCATTTCTACCAGGGCCATATATTCATCACACATAAGGGATGAAGGGGCTTCACTATATACACATGTACATATACAACTGTATAGTGTATATGGGGGTTATTGCGTCACCTGACTTGGTCTTGTCCTGCAGGCTTCTCACCCTCTGATCCGCACTAGTCAAGTCTCGCTCAGCTCTAACCCGGACGCGGACTTCCGATATTCGTCTATCTACTGTCAGATCGGTGTATATAGAGGCAGAGTGCTCGCCGTCAAAACTGTGCACAAGAAAACCGTCGACATCACGAGGACCATGAAGAAAGAGCTAAAGACGGTGAGTTAAAACAACAAATACAAGAGTAACTGTATACTACCATAGACATTGAGTCATATTGTATCGTATTGTGTCAAATGTAGTAATGTCCTAGTATGTCATTTACTAGTAAAATAAGAATCTAACTTTTACATTTTTCCTCTAAAACCATTAAACTTTTAAAATCTGAGTATGAACACCCTTTGTTCCTTTAAGGAGACTAATGATTGTGAGTTGTTTTTCTTTGTTTATACAATCAAATATAAATTTCAGCTGCGGGATCTAAGACATGACAATCTAAATGCGTTCATTGGAGCTTGCACTGAACCTCCGCACATCTGCATAGTAACCGAGTACTGCACCAGAGGAAGCCTCAAGGTATGTTACAACGTATCTAATCCATGGCGAAATTATTGTGCTATTGCTAAAATTACTGAAGATGGAAATTCAGAATACCGTCATCTAGTATAAGACATGATACATTTTTCAAATGTATCATGCTTATTTCTTTCTATCACAATCAGTGTTCAAAGCTAAATAATCTGATAATGATCGGTAGATGAAACGAATGCTCAATACACACTGCCAAGTGCCAACAACTTGGAAGTATATTCATTATTGCACTTCGTATACAAATTTCAATAATGTGCTAAATCATAAACCAATTATATTTTTTTTACAGGTACAGGTCATCCATACTAATATATAGCAATGAGATTGTGTGTGTTTGTGTCTGTCTGCTACTTAATAACGCCAAAACCACTATATCGATTTAAATAAAATTTTGTATGAAGATAGCTTATATACCTGGTTAACACATAGGCCTGTTCCTGTTCTTATATTTCCCTTGGGCTTCCAAAGTTTCAATGTTTACATTTTGGAAGTATGTGAATAGTTAATTATTATTTTAAGTGAGTTGTAAATATTTTAATTTGACAGTCCAAATAACAGAGTTAAGACCCTTGGTTCTGGTCCCGAGTTTCCAGAATTTATGATTAGGCTATGGGGATAGTTTTATCATTGAGTGGTTTCATTTTCATGGAAACAGAAGAATAATTACAATGTATTAATGTTTTGGAACTATTTTGATATTGTAGCTTTTGTTTACAAATTTGGACTGATTAATGCATGTTCGGATTAGGCTTTAAGGTGAATAGATGATTTTGAAACTAAGAGATGGATGTAGATTTTTTTAAATTTAAGTTACTGAATTTCACATTATTATTTGCGTTTTAGTTTAATTTACAAACTAAATTTCAATTAATTACATCACAGTTGTTTTCTTTCCAGAGCTAGCTGCTAATTATATTTTCTTCTATTGTATCCTAAAACTACTTGGAGTCTACACTTTGCATATATTGTAAAATGTAAAGCCTTCATGAACTGTATTTCATGTGTGGTTACGATTGAGTGCCTGATTGTAAAATACTGTCATTTCATTATACCCTCCATATGGTCGTAATGTAAACAAATCTGGGGAGGAAACTTTTAAGGCCTCTGGGTCACCAAAGGAGCCCCAAGGGAATTTACCTAGTTTCTCTTTTGATTGCTCATTAACAGACCAAGACCTTTCTTTAGACACCTCTACGGAGTTTCTAAACCCAGCCGATCTCTTAAATTAGTGGAGACAAAGAAAACAGTTTCAAATTAATATATATATTTATTTATTTATTAACTACCAAACTACGTTACAAAAATATAGTGTATGGTGCGGAGACACATTCTGTAGTAATATGGCGGATATTTACAAAAGTACTATTCTGTTTAAAAGAGTTTGCAGCAAAACCCACATCTAAAAATGTATTTCCATATTCTATAAAAGTCAGATAGGGAAACATATTAAATCTCTTAAAATAAGTGTTGAAATCAACTACACTATTATAACGTCATTAGAAAAATATAATCAGGAAATATTTATATCACCTGGTGAATTATTAATTTTTTCACATTGAAAACAGAAGGGAACTGTATGAAAATTGCACCGCTTATTGTCTTGTAAAGTGATTATTTCGAGGAAAGAAAACAGTGATTCGAGTCTCTGTTTGTCTAATGGTCTGTTCATGATTACATTGCAGCCTTAACGTGCTCTAGATGTGACCCAAGGACGAAACTACTTTTGAAACACTGTCACATAAAATAGCCTGAAAGGAGATATTACGTCATGTCTACTTAAGATTTATATTGATACTTATATATATATATATATATATATATATATATATATATATATATATATATATATATATATATATATATATATTTGTTTAATTAGTCTAACAAAGTCAAAAACACCAACTTTAGTCTTATCAGTGTAAAAAAAGATCACATAATACAAAAGCAATTATTTTGCATTGTACTGACGTTTGGCATTACATTGCAAATGTAGGCTGATATATACCCGGGTGTCCCACGAAGGGGTTTAAACGTTTGATTTTATATTACGTGCCCATTCATGCACCGAACTTTTTTAAACTTTACACAGTTTACAAAGTAGGTTTTAAAAATATTCTGGAAACATTTCAACTCCCTAACCTTAGTAGAAACAAAATGGTGGCATATTGACAAATTTACCAATGTGCTTTCTATAAATATTTCTTTCATGATTTATTATTATTTATTTATTTATTATTATTATTTATTAGACATTTGATTTATTTTTAGTTTTCCTTTAGGCGATGTTCTAGTTTTTTTTTATTCAAAAGTCATATTTCCCTGGAAAGTAACAATAAAAATATTTTATAAAACCAAAAATATCCTTTTTATTGTTTTTAAAGTAACGTTTTTCAATATGCCACCATTTTGTTTCTACTAAGGTTAGTGTTGGATTGGGAAATGGTAAAATTAAGATTATAAAAAAGAAACCATGTTGACTTGAGCAATAAAAACAATGTAATGAAAAAGTAAACAGAAAGAAATAATAACATATGATAAATAAATATACACATGTTAAATGCAGATCAAGGGGGAAAAGTCTTGAACATACTGCCCGCCTTAAAGCAACGAAGTGCTTTAACCAGAGTCAAGAAATGGTGTTTCACGTTGTAGTCTGGTGGAGCAGTCACGCTTCTTTTGGAGGGACACTATTTCATCTGCAAAGGTGGCTTGTGGAACATGATGGAAGATCTTGAGACGAGCTTTGGAGATTTCAGACGATGAGAGAGAACCACTGAGGCGGTCATTTTGATGACGACAATTGTGAATGAAGCGGTTAAGAAGAGCGACAATGCGTTGGAGTTTGTTCCACGATGAGTAGGCAGAAAGAAGTTCCCACTCCTTTTGAGGAGCTGATGTAAGAACAACTAAAGGTGTCTTCTTGATTTCTTCTGATGAAGAAAGGTCCTCAGGAATGAAGTGCGAGGTAGGCCAATGACAAGTGGGGAGCTTAAGCCAAGGAGGGCCTGTCCACCAGAGCGGATGGTTGACAAGTAGGGGAGCAGAAATTCCTCTTGACGCACAGTCTGCAGGATTATCAGTACTTGATATGTGTCGCCAAGAGTCGATGGGAACAAGTTCTTGAGTTTGAGAAACCCTGTTGGCTACATATGTCTTGAGTTTGTAGGGTGGAGTCCGTAACCATGTCAAGACTATCGAGGAGTCACTCCATAGATACATATTTTTGATGGCAATTTTATCTGAGAAGAGAGAATGACAATGTGCTACTAATTGCGCGAGAAGATGAGCAGCACAAAGCTCAAGGCGAGGAAGAGTTACTCTTTTGAGAGGAGAGACACGAGTCTTTGAGATTATTGGTCGAATGATGGTGTCACCATTAGACATCTGACAGCGGAAATATACGACAGCAGCGTAGCCACTCTCTGACGTATCTGCGAAGCCATGTAATTCTACGGTGCATGACAGGGAAAACTGTAACGCTCGAGGAATAGAAATTTGAGATAAATATTGAGTATCGATTAGGAATGAATGCCATTTTTCGGCGAGGTTAGTGGGCAGGGGATCATCCCAGGATAAGCCTGTGGTCCATAGTAACTGCATAAAACATTTTGCTTGCATGATGCAGGGAGCGAGAAATCCACAAGGATCGTAGATTTTGGCTATGATGCTCAAGATCGAACGTTTTGATGGATGAGGGTCCATAGGGAAGTTAAGGTTGTAAGTGAAGCAGTCAGAGTGGGGAGACCAATGTAGGCCAAGTATTGTGAAGTGTGGCTGTTCAGAATCTTGGAGAAAGACGGGAGTCTCAAGATGCTCCTTGGGGAAAGCTTGTAGAAGACGATCAGAGTTGGAGACCCATTTACGTAATTCAAATCCTCCTCTTCGTAACAGGTTGACCAATTGATCTTGAAGTTTCAAGGCCGTTTCCTCAGTATCCGCACCAGTGATGATGTCGTCAACGTAGGTTTGCGTTCTGAGTACTTCTTCAGTTTTCTTTTGACGATTTGGAAGTTCTACCTGAGTCCAGAATCGCTGAAGTGAGGACTGAAGGTCAACATCATTGGATGAATGTAGGGAGACGGTGTGACTGATGAAATTTGGTGTGGAATTTCTTGGTATTTCACAGGTTGCAGAACCCATCACGATGTATCCAAAATGAGTTCCTATTACGTGGGGCATATGTTGGCCAAGAGAGTAATTTTCATGAGCTAGTAACTTAGGGAAGAGAGAGCAACCAAGCACGATATCAATGCGTCCTGGCAGGTGAAATGATGGATCAGCTAGACAAAATCGTTTAGTGAGCGATAACATTTCCGGAGAGACTGGAACACGAGGTAAGTCGACAGTCAATTTGTCTAAAATGAGCATTGGATGTTGCGGAGATATGAGAAATCCAGAAAGGGTTTCAAGATTGAGGTAAGTTTGCCCATTACAGCTGCATTTTGGCCAAGTCCAGAAAGTTGAACATTTGACTTGTAGCGTCGAGCGTTTAAAAGTTGAGCTGCTCGTTCAGTGATTAAGTCACACATGGAACCGGAGTCAAGTAAGGCACGGAACACATGAGATGTGCCTTGACCTGAAGTGACCTTTATCAAAAAAGTTCCTAAGAGTATAGTGGAGCTTTTAAAAGGTGGCTGAGAGTGATCTTGTGAAGTTGACGTCATTGAGGTTTGAGTAGGCTCATGTGGGTAACTCACATTTGCATTGACAGGCTTAAAATGATTTTGATCAACAAGAGGTGCAGGGAAATGTAACAAAGTGTGATGTTTCTTGTTACATGTACGACATGAAGTTTGTGAATGGCAATCTTTGAGGTTATGATGGCCTAGACACGAGACACAGCGATGATTTTCTTTAACGAGGTTATGTCGCTCATGCGGAGATTTATTTTGGAACACACTGCAGGCATAGATCTTGTGTTCGTTTGAGTTACATGCAAAACACTGCCAATGAGTCGGTTTTTTAATGCCTGTTGAGTGAGATGACTGATGGGGAGAAGTGTGGGTCGTGGCCATAGCAACGTTTCTTGAGCGAAATTGTACTTGCTTTTGTGTAGTGTCTATGGGTGCATGAGCAAAAGTGTTATTAATTTTATTCAGTGTGTGAGCGCTGTGTAGATTTGCATCCTCAGCCTGAGAGCATTCAGTGTTCAGATATTTTATTATATCTTTGACCTCGGGAAGTGAGTGAGAATTCGGCTGATTTTCAGTTGAAGACCGGAACATTTCAAGCTTTTTGCGTAAATCAGCATCCATCTTACGCAGGAGCAGTGCGGAGAGAAGGAGATTATTATTTGTAATGTCACATTCCAAAGCTTTTAAAGCTTGCGTGTGTTCAGTGAAACAATTTACAAAATGGCGAAGTCCTGTTATAGTAAATGCATTAATGGTAGGAAGGTCCAAAATGTGATTGAGGTGCAAAGATTGTAAGCGGCGTTCATTGTGATATCTATCACGGAGGAGATTATATGCAACCAAATAGTTAGCTTCAGTGAGATTCAAACTTTTGACTAAGTCGAGGGGTCCTCCGTTAAGTACACTTAAGAGGTACTGAAATTTCATGACACTGGAAAGCGATGCGTTGTGGTGTATTGCAGTATCAAACAAATTTATAAAACTTGTCCAAGTTAGTGGGTCACCGGAGAATTTTTGTAAATCCAATTTTGGAAGGTGTACTGCTTGCGAAATCGGTGTTTGGGGAAGAGAAACGGAAGAAGAGTCACTTAAGATAGCAGAATTTGAAGGTTCAGGATGGGACATTAAGAACTCAATAGTAGCCACGATATGAGAAAATAAACTTTCAATTTCATCCAGGTCTTGAGACAATGTCTCGTCAGAGATAGGATCCTCTTCTAAGATTAAAACCCGTTGCACATTGTTGTCGAATTCTTCTTTTCTTTTACGAATTTCATTTAAATGAGCATTTAGTTGTTTAATTTGAATAGGGGTGAGTTGGTCCGTTGAGGTAGAGTATTCATCAACAGTATCTTTAAGCTTATTAAAACGAGTTTTAATTAGAGATGTTGAGCGAGTGTATGTGGATGACTTAAAATCAGAAGTTTTAGGAGCCATTGTAGTAGTAGAACACAAAATTTACCAGCAGCACACACAATATAAAAAGGTCTTGAGTAAACACAAAATCTCAGTTTGAAGTCAAAACAATGAATTGTACATCAAAGATACAGATAATAAGTTTCTTTCAATAAAGTCTTTAACTAAAAGGAGGAATGTATAGTCTATTAAGTGCACAAAAAAATTAATAAACTTGAGCTTGTTTGATTGATTGGCACCAAAAATATAGTATTAAAGTAAGTAAAGAGTTCATTTCATATCGTGATCTGAGTCCAAAAAGATTATAATCGGGTAAACTTCAAAAACAATAAATTAATAGTGGACTGTAAGGGAACTGAGTAGAACATTTAGATTATAAATGGGGTAATGTTAACAACTAATGAATATAGTTACCAGGTTTTCATCCGGCTGCGAATTAGGACCAAATGTTGGATTGGGAAATGGTAAAATTAAGATTATAAAAAAGAAACCATGTTGACTTGAGCAATAAAAACAATGTAATGAAAAAGTAAACAGAAAGAAATAATAACATATGATAAATAAATATACACATGTTAAATGCAGATCAAGGGGGAAAAGTCTTGAACAGTTAGGGAGTTGAAATTTTTCCAGAATATTTTTAGAACCTACTTTGTAAACTGTGTAAGGTTTCAAAAAGTTCGGTGCATGAATGGGTGCGTAATATAAAATCAAACGTTTAAACCCCTTCGTGGGACACCCTATATTATTTAATCCAAAAGCTTTCTTACCAGCCAATAGTTGACCAACATCAGTCGCATGATTTTCGTTGCATGTATAATTTCAAAGAAAGGTTCTTTACCATAATATTTGTATGCGTTTTACAAACCATATAACTAAAGTTCCTAATGCATTGTACGATGCTAGTAATCTAGTCTCCGCAGCATGTGTCACAACATTACACAAGTTTAAAGTTATCTTGAAGCGGGCTGTGTTCTACGAGTTTTATGGTGTTGAATGTTGAAATTCTGAATCACTCTCTAATAATGCTGTTACGACCTTCCTATTTAACATGTTGACGTAAGACAGCAACATAATACACCAATACTCACACTGCTTGACTCCGTACGTAAATGGCAAACTTGGTACTGTAACTTTTGTTTAACAAATATTCTAGTTATTTTCAAGATAAACCCAGTGTTTTGTAGTGAATTGTTGAGCTGATAAATAGTTATCTGACGAGTCGTTGTGAAATCAACAAGCTGGTTCCGTATTAAATGTTAAGACAGTTATTGCACTGAGGTGATGGAAACCCTGTCAACGGGAAATCTATTTTCCAGGGAAAATTCCATTGCCACATTGTGCTGGTTTGCGTACAAGTAAATATATATTTTTCCTACAGTTACCTAACAATGTACATGTTCCCTCACTAATTTGAGAAAGCAAAGTGGCCAATTCGCTCATCAGTGAGACAATGTTAACATTGTCTCACCTTAATTACTTTGTCTCACTCCAGATTTGCAACGTGAAGGCACGAAATAGTGAGCGCGTAACATGCAGGCAACGTCGTATGCGCGCGAAATACGTTGGCAGCACTGGCTGTAAATCAGCTGGTCAGCTGTTGTACTGTTGTATTTGTCACTTCACATTAAATGTTATATTAAAAGTTCACTTCTGTGTAAAAATAGGTTATGTTTCTTCACCAATTTATCTTTTTTATGGTAACTGTAGGAAAAGTATAATGTGCAACTCGAGTTCAAAGTACAATTGCCTCACTCGAGAAACCATTCCTCCTTTAATATAACCTGTAAGGATTTCTCTCGAGCGAGTCAATTGCTCACTTTTCTCACTAGTTGCACAAATAACTATTTACTGAGTCAAATCAAACATTACCATTCCAAAACCATTGTGATTTAAAACCAAAGTAAATAATAATCTATACTTTTTCGTAAAGTTTTAATTTGCGATTAATTACAATTACAATTATATTGTGTCTTTATTTTACTGTACTTTTACAAAATCCAGTGTATGATTCATTATAATTCCTATTTTAATGTCATGAAATAGTATATGTCGTACCTAGGACCAAAAATGAGGTTTTGCTGGCTCGAGACTGTTTTTAAGGTCAAGACGAATTCGAGAACTTAAAAAGATCGAGAGCTGCAAAACCATTTCGGTCCGTGGTACGAACGCTACTTTTCACCATACTATACCATATTACCACTATTTAACACAATAATAATGTTAACTAACAGTCAACACAACTACAGCTTTCAGGTGATGTGAAGAAATAATTTGAGGAATCAACAAAAATAATAATAAATAGTTGCTAGGCAGCGGTGACAATAAAACAATTATATTGCGATGCTATGGATACTGATTGTGTGTTTAATGTTTTAAGAAAGTAAACGGGCAGCTGATTTTGCGGCCCTAGGGATGTAAAAACCTGTTTGGTCCCCAAAATGACGATGACAGCTGGCATGGCCAGCAAAACGTAACTGTCATCCACCAATTAACGTATGTAAAACAGCTAAAAACATCATAGTGTGGTGAAAAACTATTTAATTTACGTTAGAAACAAATTGCAGTGTTTTAGCTATGCAGTTCTGGCCTAAAAAGATTAGATTTTTAAATCAAGATGTAATCATTTGTTATTAAAAACGATTAAATTTGATCGAATCGTGTTCTGTAATATCCATTACGTTCCCTTCACACAACCCGATTACGCCCGGCCAGGAAGATTTCGGCCGGACCAGTATATGAAGACAATTTATTTTTAGTGTTCATTGGGTTGAGGCACAAGTTTCTCGTATAGTTTCCTTGATATAATTGTTTAATATTATAAGAGGGGAAAATTGTTATTGTTTAATGGCAGACAATAGGACGATTCTGGATAATTCTGATTGGAAATGTGGACAAACTTTAATTCGTTTAGATAGAGTACGTTTAAAGGTTGTATATTTTTAATCAATTTTGTCATAAATATCAGACAGAAGAGTGAAGAAAATCACAAAAGAACAAATACTTATCTGTTAATAAAAACGTAGATGATAAGATCAATTATTAACGGTATGAAGAAATTAATGCCCTTACTTGTCTAGATACCAGACCATGAGTATCCACTAACTATTTAGTATTAGCTGATAAGATAACTATCACTCCTAATACAATAATTGTAATGATATTTTTAAATTTAATCCTTGCCGACTAAACAAAAACTGCTATGAAGATAAACAATTAATCATTTAGTAACATCAATTTTTTTATTTGTTTCCTCATGTGTTTTATAGCCAAAAATATGAAAACGTCAGTTTTTTACTAGAAGTTAAAAATATGCTTGCTGTGAATTTAAACATTGTTTTTTAAATTTTTCAGGATATATTAGAGAATGAAGACGTCAAACTTGACAATATGTTCATAGCTTCTCTGGTTGCAGATATCATAAGGGTAAGTTTATGTGGTCTTAAAACAATGAGGATCAACAACAACAATGAGATCTTAAACACTGTAGTCCATTATAATATTGTAACGTATTATTAATTTTTATATACCTATAACGTTTAAACAAAAATATATTTTTTTCATTCTTATCATGAAACCTTTACTGCAAACCTGTTTATATAAACGGAACTTTTCAACCATTGTCAAGGCTACAAACACAAGAAGGCTACTTGCAAAATCAGTTCTGATGCACAACCTTTTGTCTAATGTAGATAGGCTAATTGCTTTTAAATTTAATGTAGCAAGGACACTACTTATACGTTCTCTGAAAATCATGGATAATATTTACAGAGCTAATTACATACCGTGTAATGTTTTTCAATGACTTTCGGAACATCGCTATCGAATTGCAATGATGAGATATGTATTCAAATAGTTACGCTGACTACGTAAATGCGATTGGTTAATATCTGAATACTCGATGTAGTGTGAGTACGTATACTGAGCCGTTAGATTGTAACTTAACATTCATTATAACTTAATAATGCCCAAAGGTAACAAGTCATCATAATTGCTACTACAAAGTGTTGGTGAAACATTGGCAGTCGATATTCTTTTAATTTATTCAAACTAAGCAATTGACAAAACTAAGGCTTTAGCATAATTTTTGCAAAACCCAAGGTAACATCACAATCCAAGATAACTCTAGGTTTTAAAAATACATTTAATAAGTACCCAAATACGTAAGTACGAAAAATATTCCATAAAAACAAAAGTTAACGATCAATAGTTAATCATTGTAAAAAGAATAATGTTACATGTTTCAATATATATTATAGGGTCTTATATACCTCCAAGACTCACCACTGCACTACCACGGGAACCTCAAGTCGTCCAACTGCCTAGTGGATTCTCGGTGGGTCGTGAAACTGGCGGACTTTGGTCTGTCGCAGCTAAAAGGAGATGAGGAGACACACCATCACTACCTGCAGCACACCTTCTACACACCTCAGGACGAGACTGTACAGTGCAAATGTGAAGGTAGGTAGGGGTTGTAGTCAGTTAAAGGATAAGGTTATAGTGAAACTGGCAGACTTTGGTCTGTCACAGCTAAAGGTAGATGAGGAGACACACCATCACTACCTGCAGCACACCTTCTACACACCTCAGAACGAGACTGTACAGTGCAAATGTGAAGGTATGTAGGGGTTGAAGTCAGTTAAAGGATAAGGTTATAGTGAAACTGGCGGACTATGGTCTGTCACAGCTAAAGGGAGATGAGGAGACACACCATCACTACCTGCAGCACACCTTCTACACACCTCAGAACGAGACTGTACAGTGCAAATGTGAAGGTAGGTAGGGGTTGTAGTCAGTTAAAGGATAAGGTTATAGTGAAACTGGCGGACTTTGGTCTGTCACAGCTAAAGGGAGATGAGGAGACACACCATCACTACTTGCAGCACACCTTCTACACACCTCAGGACGAGACTGTACAGTGCAAATGTGAAGGTAGGTAGGGGTTGTAGTCAGTTATAGGATAAGGTTATAGTGAAGCTGGCGGACTTTGGTCTGTCAAAGCTAAAGGGAGATGAGGAGACACACCATCACTACCTGCAGCACACCTTCTACACACCTCAGGACGAGACTGTACAGTGCAAATGTGAGGGTAGGTAGGGGTTGTAGTCAGTTGTAGGATAAGGTTATAGTGAAACTGGCGGACTTTGGTCTGTCAAAGCTAAAGGGAGATGAAGAGACACACCATCACTACCTGCAGCACACCTTCTACACACCTCAGGACGAGACTGTACAGTGCAAATGTGAAGGTAGGTAGGGGTTGTAGTCAGTTAAAGGATAAGGTTATGGTGAAACTGGCGGACTTTGGTCTGTCACAGCTAAAGGGAGATAAGGAGACACACCATCACTACCTGCAGCACACCTTCTACACACCTCAGGACGAGACTGTACAGTGCAAATGTGAAGGTAGGTAGGGGTTGTAGTCAGTTAAAGGATAAGGTTATAGTGAAACTGGCGGACTATGGTCTGTCACAGCTAAAGGGAGATGAGGAGACACACCATCACTACCTGCAGCACACCTTCTACACACCTCAGGACGAGACTGTACAGTGCAAATGTGAAGGTAGGTAGGGGTTGTAGTCAGTTATAGGATAAGGTTATAGTGAAGCTGGCTATTTTTTTTATCTGTTCCAGTAAATGTCACAAAGTGTTATTATTTTATTTCTAGGGTTGCTATATCGAGCACCGGAGCTGCTCAGGATAAACACGGCCAGTCCCGGTCCTGGGTCTCAGAAAGGGGACGTCTACTCCTTCGGGATCATACTTTACGAGCTGCACAGCCGAAAGGGGCCTTTTGGGGACACGACTGGTCTGAGTACTGCAGAAACTCTACGGAGAGTGATTCATTATTCTGGCCAAGGACCACCGTTTAGGTAATGCAACATTTGTTATTTATTTTTTACGGAAAGTAAATAAAAGAAACGTCTTATAACACTTAAAACACATATTTACGCTTATACTGTTACTCACTAAAAATATATCAAAAATATGTAAAAATATATAAAAGATGGTAAGTGGTGGTCGATTTCGATTGGACACTCCAATCATCATCACCACTTACCATTTTTTTTTTATATTTACCGTCTTGTGAGTAACAGTAGAAGCGTAAATGTATGTTTCAATTGTTATAAGACTTTTCTTTTATTTACTTTCCGTAATTTAATAATGCTAATCAAGAAGTTATATTTTTTTACGCAATGGAAAGATTTAACAAATATTTTGACGTTAACGGGTTTTTCTTATTATTTTAACAGGCCTCCATTGGAGCTTTTGGAAAACAGTTTCGACTTTGTACGTGATCTCTTAAAAGAATGTTGGCAAGAAAGTCCTGATGACCGACCTGAAATCAAGACTGTACGAGCAAAGCTTCGGCCAATGAGGAAAGGGATGTAAGTGTTAACATACTATGCAGTGTTACCAACCTTACCTACCATTACTCAATTACAATGCAACTACTTAATTATTTAATAGTAGTTTTAGGCTATACAGCCAACTTAATGAGTTAGAAATGCATTATGCAATTTCAAATATTTATTTCAAGGGTTAGAATTATTATCATAGAATGTAAATAAAGTTGGACTACTTTACTGATCTAATGATTTGCAAGAGTCTCTCAAAGCTAATACATTTGTAGATAAGCCGAATGCTGAATTTTACGAAACTCTTCTTTTTTAGGAAGCCAAATATATTTGATAACATGATCGCAATGATGGAGAAGTATGCGAATAACTTGGAAGCCTTAGTAGACGAAAGAACAGATCAGCTTGTGGAGGAGAAAAAGAAAACAGGTAGTCTTTTTGCTTCTTTAGTAAGTAATTTTATTTAAATTTTATATTACTATCATATTTAAATTGTATCTTAATCTAGTGTGAATGACATTATTTCAAACTAAATCCTTTAGTAACCAACTATTTAACGTATACCTGAATTTCTACTTATCTCTTCTATCTCTTCTATAACCTTGTTCAACATATTTTGCGCACACTATCATGCATACCTCCTGTGTTTCTAATGTATTTAAATAGAACTGTGTATATTTTTTGATTTACTACACCCTCTCTGGTCCTTCATACCTTAAATGGTCTTTATTTTACAAAGTTGTAAATAAGAAACTTGAATCACCTGAAAGCTTGAACTAAGGCGGATCTGTGTAATCCTGCGATGTACCAACTCTTTCACTTTGCATTCAATAACTTAGATGGGATATTATAGGCTATAAATATTTCTCTAACATTGTTACGAAAAGCTTTTACGGATAGCTGTGGTGTGACGTCACTGTTTGTTCCTCAGAGGCGCTCCTGTACGAGATGCTGCCGAGGTACGTCGCCGAGCAACTCAAGAGAGGACACAAGGTCCAAGCCGAGAGTTTCGACTGTGTCACCATCTACTTCAGCGACATCGTGGGCTTCACACAGATGTCAGCCGAGAGCACACCTCTGCAGGTTCGAACAACACAACTGTCGTCTAGACTATAGGAACACGTTCAATACATAGGCTTTCTTGCTTCTAAATACAATTTTGTAGTTTTTAATTTAATAAAATTTGTAGTCTTACTATAAGTTTGGAAAATTGTACATATTCAAAAATTCAGAATTGTTCTGTTAATTCACTAAAACTATGTTTTTTTTTCAGACTGAAAATTGTATAACTATCTACACATTTCTATTAGGATTAGGTTATTTTTAGGTTTGGTTGGGTTGGGTAAGGTTAGGTTACAAAGATATGGCTTGAAACAATATTTGTGTATTGTTACAGACAGGCTATAGAGGTTGCTTTGTTAACATAAAAGTTACAATAATTATTAGTTATAGTAATGAGAGGTATTTTATATCCTGATCCATGTTTTGGTTTCGACAGGTGGTTGATTTCTTGAACGACCTGTACACCTGCTTCGACTCAACGATAGAGAACTTTGACGTCTACAAAGTGGAGACTATAGGAGATGCTTACATGGTGGTATGTGATGATAAGAAACTATGATACGATTAAGGAATATGTTAGACAGTTTGAATCAAATAATTCTTCAATCATTATCTTAGGAAATAGATATTGGAAAAGATTAGTAATCATTTGTTGGTGATTTAAGGAATCTTAGTTATTTTAGTGTGTACTTTAAAAGTTAATAAAACACACATTGCTTCGTTGAAGCCCAAGGTAGTGGACTTATTTCAATGCAAACTCATAGTATTAGCTTTGAGCGTAATAAATACTTGGGGCTAATATTTTGCTTTAAGGCTTTTCGTATAGTTTTAAAAGCATAAATTTCTTCTTATCAAAACTCAGTTAAAAACCCCCTTAAATGAAATACTATTTACCGTCAAATATAGAAGAATTAAAATCCCGATCACTCGGGTCATAATGCTGTATAATACGGAATTACCTAACGAGCCTAATACTAATTAAAACTGATGATAAGATAAAAAAAATAAGAATAAAATGTTTGGAGTACACAGGGTTTTAATAAATGTTATAGTTAAATAATGTTTTAATGAATGTGAGTTCTATATGACATTCAACTGTAGTATGGTAACATTTAATTGCTGCTATGAGTGGACGTTTGGCCTTTACTAACCTACAGATCTCTCTCACTGTATCACTGTATCCGTGTAAACAGGTGAGTGGTCTCCCGGTCCGCAACGGTGATCAGCACGCAGGAGAGATCGCCACCATGTCACTACACCTACTGGAGGCTGTGAGGAGGTTCCATATCAGGCACCGTCCCAACGACAGTCTTCAGCTCCGCATCGGTATACACTCCGGCCCAGTGTGTGCTGGTGTGGTCGGCCTCAAGATGCCTCGCTACTGCTTGTTTGGTGACACAGTCAACACCGCCAGCAGGATGGAGTCTACGGGAACTGGTGAGAGTGCTAACACTGAGCCACTTAGTCAACAGGTTTATACTTTATTGTCATTGTCGGGGTTTCGTAATATATTAGCAATATAGCAATAAACAGGGTGACCATCTTAACTGTGCCACCATTGCTTCTCAGAAACATTAGATTTTGAGAAAACATTAAATGGGGAACTTCAGTTATTTTCCCATGACACTAACAAATATTGATTCCCCTTTTTTATGGTGATTTTATCTTTTACAAGATATAATCTTAAAACGAACAATTTGAATTTTACTTAGACTTACGGTTTTACTTATTTCAGCCCTGAAGATCCACTGCAGTTCGGCATGCAAATCACTACTAGACCGTCTAAAGGGATACAAGCTTCTAGAGAGAGGTACAGTAGACATGAAGGGCAAAGGAGAAATGCTCACCTACTGGTTGGTGGGGGAGGAACACGAACATCAAATTAGAAGAACGGAAGAGAGAGAAAAGAGAAGAGCAGAACAATTGAGCCGACACTCAACGAAAAAGAGTTTGAAAAATCATGACTCCAACGGATGTGTAGGAGTGCCTAGAAGTTCTCTCAAGAACCGGAACTTGACGCTGACTCCTAGCCCGAGGAACCTTTCGAGATGTGCAAGCTTGGAGTCCCCTAAGAAGCTGAGGTTTGCAAGCAACCACACTTTGGAATTCACCAACCCTAACCCTTACCAGAGATGCAGTAGGGATCCTCTACTGGAGGTAATTAAAGATAACAGCCCGAGTAAAAGGACTCTGTCACAAAGTGGGAGTGATATGGGAGATAACTATTGTCTCAATCATCTTAGCGCCTCCTGTCCCTGTATCGAGAACTTCTCTCCTCCATCTTCCCAACTACTTCCACTGACCGCGGGAGAGGGAAGTTCTACCAGTGAGCCCACCCTCTGCGCCTCGGCCCCCGTCTCCCCCAGTGACGTGGAGTCTCCCCTCGTACTCTCTGTCACCAGGTCTCCTTCTGACGAGGTCCACACTCCTTTACTACCCAGCTACGAGCTCAGGGCTCACTGATCCTCGGCCCCCGTCTCCCCCAGTGACGTGGAGCCTCCCCTCGTACTCTCTGTCACCAGGTCTCCTTCTGACGAGGTCCACACTCCTTTACTACCCAGCTACGAGCTCAGGGCTCACTGATCCTCGGCCCCCGTCTCCCCCAGTGACGTGGAGCCTCCCCTCGTACTCTCTGTCACCAGGTCTCCCACTGACGAGGTCCACACTCCTTTACTACCCAGCTACGAGCTCAGGGCTCACTGATCCTCGGCCCCCGTCTCCCCCAGTGACGTGGAGTCTCCCCTCGTACTCTCTGTCACCAGGTCTCCCACTGACGAGGTCCACACTCCTTTACTACCCAGCTACGAGCTCAGGGCTCACTGATCCTCGGCCCCCGTCTCCCCCAGTGACGTGGAGTCTCCCCTCGTACTCTCTGTCACCAGGTCTCCTTCTGACGAGGTCCACACTCCTTTACTACCCAGCTACGAGCTCAGGGATCACTGATCCTCGGCCCCCGTCTCCCCCAGTGACGTGGAGTCTCCCCTCGTACTCTCTGTCACCAGGTCTCCCTCTGACGAGGTCCACACTCCTTTACTACCCAGCTACGAGCTCAGGGCTCACTGATCCTCGGCCCCCGTCTCCCCCAGTGACGTGGAGCCTCCCCTCGTACTCTCTGTCACCAGGTCTCCCTCTGACGAGGTCCACACTCCTTTACTACCCAGCTACGAGCTCAGGGCTCACTGATCCTCGGCCCCCGTCTCCCCCAGTGACGTGGAGTCTCCCCTCGTACTCTCTGTCACCAGGTCTCCCTCTGACGAGGTCCACACTACTTTACTACCCAGCTACGAGCTCAGGGCTCACTGATCCTCGGCCCCCGTCTCCCCCAGTGACGTGGAGTCTCCCCTCGTACTCTCTGTCACCAGGTCTCCCTCTGACGAGGTCCACACTACTTTACTACCCAGCTACGAGCTCAGGGCTCACTGATCCTCGGCCCCCGTCTCCCCCAGTGACGTGGAGTCTCCCCTCGTACTCTCTGTCACCAGGTCTCCCTCTGACGAGGTCCACACTACTTTACTACCCAGCTACGAGCTCAGGGCTCACTGATCCTCGGCCCCCGTCTCCCCCAGTGACGTGGAGTCTCCCCTCGTACTCTCTGTCACCAGGTCTCCCTCTGACGAGGTCCACACTACTTTACTACCCAGCTACGAGCTCAGGGCTCACTGATCCTCGGCCCCCGTCTCCCCCAGTGACGTGGAGTCTCCCCTCGTACTCTCTGTCACCAGGTCTCCCTCTGACGAGGTCCACACTCCTTTACTACCCAGCTACGAGCTCAGGGCTCACTGATCCTCGGCCCCCGTCTTCCCCAGTGACGTGGAGTCTCCCCTCGTACTCTCTGTCACCAGGTCTCCCTCTGACGAGGTCCACACTCCTTTACTACCCAGCTACGAGCTCAGGGCTCACTTATCCTCTGCCCCCGTCTCCCCCAGTGACGTGGAGTCTCCCCTCGTACTCTCTGTCACCAGGTCTCCCTCTGACGAGGTCCACACTCCTTTACTACCCAGCTACGAGCTCAGGGCTCACTGATCCTCGGCCCCCGTCTCCCCCAGTGACGTGGAGTCTCCCCTCGTACTCTCTGTCACCAGGTCTCCCACTGACGAGGTCTAATCTCCTTTACTACCCAGCTACGAACTCAGGACTTACTGATCCTCGTGCTGGCCGTCTATATGTGATATTAGACTCTTAATGAACATCCAAATCAAATTTATTTTTAACAGTGGTATATTCCGAAAGATAACCAGTGTAGTATGTGTATTTTTACAGTATGGTCATTATTTACTCATACTTAAGATGGTGCAATATTCTTTTATTTAACAGCTTTTAAGGGTTTCAAAAGTATATCATTTACAAAAGCGTGGTCATGTACTTAAAATCTTTAAACATATGCTCTTTAGATTTGGCTTTATAAAATTTGGTGCTTTAACCGGAGATTAAAGCTAAACAAATAGGCAATTGCTATAAAAGTTTGATAAGTCTTGGCTGATTGGCTCCTTGATTGACACTTTAGGGTTGAAAGACGTGTGGTTTGTTTCTTGATCAACGGTAACAGTGTTGGTGCTAGTTTGCTGCTCATGTCGCGTCTAAAGCCAGAGCTAAAACTGGGACAAGAAAATAACATAATAACATAATTTATTATCGTCATCAAACTATGTCTCAATATTTTTATATAATAATATTATATAAATTTAAGTGTAAATCATTGTTTGGTATCGTACTTAACATACCAAACCAAAAAGATACACCACTGTACAACCATCAGAGTACGGTTAAGGTTAAGCCTACTTCGTCTGGGCAGATTTAACTGGTAAGTACACTAATTAGTTGTTATATTGTTTTACTCTTTTAATGTATGTCGAGAGCACAATGTGGGGGAAGGGAGCACAAGTTATTTTTACTTGAAATGTGTTATTGTTATCATTGGCTGTTTTACAGAAAGAGAGAATGGCTATTTATGTTTTACGTCACAATTTAAAAAGAAAATATTCACTATTAAAACCCATTTACAATGTCACATGTCTAAATGAACGTTTAACATGTAAATAACAACTCCTTACTCAAAAATTTGTATACAGTTCTAAAATTTGGTGTTAAAAATAATATACTTTAAACTGGAATTGTTTCTGTTCGCCACGGTTACAAGCCCCTTGTGATAATAAGATTTATATTCCATGCAGATGCACGTTTAAAATATATCTTACTTGTAAGACTGAGTGATAGACTACGTATTTCTAAGATGAACTTTATCAAAATTAATGGAGATTTTAATATGTATTATGACAGGGCCCGTTTCTTTGTGGTAGTTAAAACATTGTAGTTTACGCAACGATCGCGTAAAGATAGTCGTTAATACTATTTACACGAGTTGCGTACACTACCTACGACCGTTTTTTAATTAATAACAATCACTACTCATAACTTCTAAGAGAGGTTATGTTTTCGCTTATAACCTCTCATTGCCAGGCAGTGATGCAACGACTCAACTATTGCAATACTCAAACAATTAAATAGGTCTAAACAGCTGATTAGTTTAAGTTCAAAGCTTTACAATTTTACCTCTTTTCTCTCAATCCTTAAACCTCATTGGTCCGTTACTCGTGTTGGTAAGTAAAACAATGCTGTAAAGTATGTAAACAATTATTTATGTGAATATATTCAATTCTAAGAACTGAACTGAAACGGCTAGTTTAAAAAACTGTCGTAGGTAAAGTTGTTTTTTCAACTAAGTGTATATTTAAGTAAATTGAATTTGAGCTCACTTATCGTATATACAATTTACTTAATAACCATCAACAAATATTTTACTTTATTTAGACTACTGATTTTGTATGTTACCATTTCTAGTCTTGCAGTGATAAATATTACCAAATACATGTCTATATTATGCTGATAGATAAATATGTAACCGTGTAACCAGTATTCTAATATAAGTTACTTGACGAAAATTGTGTAAATATTGAATAAAGAAACTTACTTTTATCCTAATTCTTAATCATGACTACCTTTGGGCTATATGTATTACTGTTTTAATCCGTCACTTTAATTAGGTATGATTTTGTTTCAAATGGGGAAGTAACTTTATTGAAATTGTATTTTAATTTCTTGAAAGTAATAGTATTTTATCCAGAAATATCTAAATAACTAAATATACAAGTCAAAAGATAAATATATTTTTCCTACAGTTACCTAACAATGTACATGTTCTCTCACTGATTTGAGAAAGCAAAGTGGCCAATTCGCTCATCAGTGAGACAATGTTAACATTGTCTCACTCTAATTACTTTGTCTCACTCCAGATTTGCAACGTGAAGGCACGAAATAGTGAGCGCGTAACATGCAGGCAACGTCGTATGCGCGCGAAATACGTTGGCAGCACTGGCTATAAATCAGCTGGTCAGCTGTTGTACTGTTGTATTTGTCATTTCACATTAAATGTTATATTAAAAGTTCACGTCTGTGTAAAATTAGGTTATGTTTCTTCACCAATTTATTTGTTTTATGGTAACTGTAGGAAAAGTATAATGTGCAACTCGAGTTCAAAGTACAATTGCCTCACTCGAGAAACCATTCCTCACTCGCCTACGGCTCGTGAGTAAGGATTTCTCTCGAGTGAGTCAATTGCTCACTTTTCTCACTAGTTGCACAAATAACTATTAGCACCAAACGTGCAAACTTTATTTTGTTATAATATTACAACCTGCAATAAATTGTATACAAAATGAAAATTTTTTTTAAGACACGGCAGACGATATGTTCTTTTGTGTAGTGCTCTGAAATATGGACTAAGTCAAACTATTTTATTCACTCTCTTCAAAACCAAGCCACCCTTCCAGCAATAATGGCGTTTCTTTCAAGTTACTGTTTTTTTAATATATTTATATTTATATTTAGACTATGTAGCTAACTACAAATTATTTTGTTCTTTTAAAACTTTTTTCTGCATAATGTGATTGGTAATGATTTAATGGAATTAAGTAATCCAGAGATTGACATTATTTGTTTTGGTTCTAAAATCTATGCTTCATATAATATTATTATGGGTTCAGGATAAAATCGTAATATAAGGGGAGCAGTTAATTTATCTATATATTTAGTTTATTTGATTGGGTTATTTTTAAACAGAGATCCAAGATTTTTCGGTTTATTTTGACGTGTTTTGTCACATCAGAGCTCCCTTTGAAGTCGCGTGTCGTCGCGTGAAAGGGACTCAATAAGTGAAAGAGCTTCGTATTCTGGCCCTTCTATGCATGGCGATAAATTTTTACTGTGCTAATTTTGATTTACTAATTTATTAGGGTCCACCGGGACTTTTCAAATGTTTCACTTTTAGGTTAAAGAGAAAGCTCATCGATATTTTAAATAGTGAATTTGGGTTTATGTACATGGTATAATAGAAAAAGGTGAGTGAGCCTGGCCAATATGATGTATTTATCAAAAAAAAAGAGTTAATTATCGCAGTACCTACTGTATTTCTTGAAAAAAAAACAGGTACGTGCATTTCTTGAAAAAAAAACAGGTACGTGCATTTCTTGAAAAAAAAAACATATACGTGTATGTCTTGAGTCTGGA